GCAAATGGAAGAGTAAAAATGAGGAACACGCCTGCTGGATGGGGGATACACTTCTGGGTAGCAGTGTGTATGTAAACAAGATCTTGGGGTATAGACTGACTGCAAGTTAAATATGAGCAGCCAGTGTGATGCAGCAACAAAAGAGGCTAATGCGATCTTGGGGTGTGTCAACAGAGGCATAACATTCAAATCGCAAGATGTCATAGTCCCACTGTACACTGCATTGGTTAGGGCGCACTGGGAGTATTGTGTGCAGTTCTGGAGGCCTCACTTCAAAAACGATGTGGACAGAAAGGAGCGGGGGCAGAGGAGAGCGATGAGGATGATCAGGGGCCTGGAGACCAAGCCCTATGAGGAAAGGCTGAGGGACTTGGGAATGTTCAGTCTGGAGAAAGGGAGGTTGAAGGGGGACATAACTGCTCTCTTGAAGTATTTGAAAGGCTGTCACTTAGAGGAGGGCAGGGAGCTGTTTGTTGGTTATTACAAGTTGAAAACACTCACTATATCTGGGGTTAAATGTTTGTTTATGTTACTCACAGGAAGTCACATGTTTCTCATGTAACCAATGTTCTTTAGCTGTAGGATGCCCGGGAATTTTCTCCCTGATCTAGGAATTTGATTGGGACTAAAGTGTCAAGGTATATTACCATTTTATGGCTTCTCTTCCCGTCTTTGTTTTGGTGTCTTTGTTTTGGTGTTCTGAAGAACAAGAAGAGTAGCCATACTCTCTCTCTTCTAGTTTTGTCTTTGTAGAGTAAGGATGTAGTAGATTTTGCTCTGTTGTTATTTTCATCCCAGTTACCCTTCCCATGCTAGAATTTAGTAAAAACTTTATATTTTAATCACATGGATTTTGAGTCTGAATTATTTTACTTTGCTGGACTATCTTATCTCTGCTAAATACCATTTTTTCAATATCTCACTATCACCCAACACTGTTCCTGTGGGCAGCAGAGGAGAGGACTCACAATAATGGGTTTAAATTAAGGGCAAGAAGGAGCCGGCTGAATATTAGGGGAAACTTTTTTACAGTAAGAGTTGTGCAATCAGCTGCCTAGGGAGGTGGTGAGCTCCCTTTCACTGGCAGTCTTTAGGCAGCGGCTGGACAAACCCTTGTCAGGGATGCTCTAGGCTGATCCTGCATTAAACAGAGGGTTGGACTAGATGGCCTGTCTGACCCCTTCCAACTCTGTGAGTCTATGAGGTTACATTCTGGCCTCTGACCACCGTCTCCGTCTCCATTACTTCCTTTAACCCTCCCCCCTAAGATTCTCAGAAACTCACTCCAGTAACCACCAGGACTCATTTTACTTGATCAACATATACATGAAGTGAAGCAAAAAATACCAACTAATGTATCAAGGGGAAGATGCTTTTTCCAGGGTCAGATCTTTGTTTCCAAAAAACCCCAAAAGAGAACAATGGAAAGGGCAGAGGCGGCCATTAAGGAGGGCTGGCCAGTGACCCACTCTTGGAGGCTGTGCAGTCCACCTCTGGGTCCCGAGTCCCAACCCATAGGTTGGGAAACACTGGATTGAGGCATGTATCTTCTCAGGATACGAGGTTCAACACGTACCTGCTCTCAACGCTCCAGAGAGCCAGTTTGGTGTAGTGGTTAAGAGGCTCAAAAATGATGGCCACAGTCACAGAACAGACCACAAAAAGAAGAAACTGTGAGGTAACTGCGCTAGAAAATATTTCAATAACAATCACAATATTTATACAAAAATGTGTACAAAAAATCATATAAATGCCCAAGGCAGTTGAAAATGGTGTGACGATGGTCTCCGGAATGTTCTATCGTTTTGATACTATTCTTCTTCCGAAAGTGGATGAAAGCAGCGACTCTTGGTCTGTCATTTCAACAAGTAGGTATCAAAAATTTCATTAATATTCACCGATGTATCATAACTTAGTTGCAAGAAATTCTCTGAAAGAATGTTCCTAGGGCAGCAGCCACCTCAGTGGCCTTCTCTACCTGTGCTCCAACGGCAGAAATCCGCAGAGCAGGGACCCGGAGATCAGTGTCCACCTTTGTCAGACACTATGAGTTGAACACCTGCAGGTATGGAGATGCAGGAATTGGCAGAAGAGCCCTCCAGAAGGTGCTTCCCCAGAGAGCCAGTCTGGTGTAGTGGTTAAGAGCACAGACTCTAATTGCGGAGAACCGGGTTTGATTCCCTCCACATGCAGCTGCTGGAGTGACCTTGGGTCAGCCACAAGTTCTCTCAGAGCTGTTCTCTCAAGAGCAGTTCCCCTAAGAGCTCTCTCAGGCCCACCTACTTCACAGGGTGTCTGTTGTGGGGAGAGGAGGGGAAAGGAGATTGTAAGCCGCTCTGAGACTCCAAGTGAAGGGCAGGGTATAAATCCAATCTCCTCTTCTTCTCTAATGCCTCTGTCACGCAAGAAACCACTCACCCAGGATGACTCAGCCGTTCAACATCCTACTTCAGGATACCTTCCATCACTGATGGAGAATGAAACATGGAACTTACCATGAGGGTTTCTTCTTCTCCATGGAATGGAAGGTATCCCTCCCCTCTGGTAAAGTGGGAGAAATTTCTGGGAGGGGAAAGTAAAGACAGCTTGAAGGACGATGCTTCTGGTAGGCATTATACACCTGGACTTTCGAAAGACTTCTGACAAGGGACCTCACCGATGACTCCTGAGTCAACTTTGCAGTCAAGGGATAAGAGGACGGGTTCTCTTATGGAGTAAAAACTGGTTCAATGACAGGAATCAAACAGTGGGAATCAATGGACAGTTCTCACAGTGGAGGGAAGTAAATGGTGGGGTGCCACAAGGATCGATATTGGGGATGGGACTATTTATTCATGAATGGTCTGGAACTAGGGCTGAATAGTGCAGTGGCCAAGCTTGCGGATGACACAAAATTATTCAGGATGGTGAAAACCAAGGCTGGCTGTGGAGAGCTCCAAGAGGACCTCCACAAACTGGGTGAATGGGCAATAATGTGGCAAATGAAGTTCAATGTTGGTAAGTGTGAGGTGATGATGCACAGTGGGACACAACATCCCAACTTCAAGTCTAGGATACTAGGGTATGAACTTGCTGAGACCGAGAGGGAAAACGATCTTGGGGGTCATACTAGATAACTCAATGAAAGTGTCAACCCAGCGCACTGCAACAGGTAAAAAGGCAAACTCTATGTTAGGGATTATTATTTTTTTTAATTTTATTTTATTTAACTTTAGACTTTATATCCCGCTCGAACCCTTTCTCAGGGGGTCTCTGAGCGGCTTACATATGGTGCTAGTCACACAAATTACCCTAACTATGGCCACAGAGTTTTATGGGGGTGGGGTTTCCTACCGGCACCCCTGTGGTGGTGGGTTGACATGCTTGCTCTCGGCTCGGCGCTTCGCTTCGTTCCCGGCGGGCTCCATTTTGATCCGGCGGCAGTTCTTTCCTTCGGTCGCACGATTCACGCCTTCCTCTGGTTCCAGCAACGTCCTTCAGGCTCCGCTTTACGCCAGCGTCCAACGTCATCATGCGCCCGTCTCGCCGGCAGCCGCTCAGAAGTCTCCTCCTTTCTGACCTCTGGTCTTCGGGCCGATGTTTCGTTGCCGCTGCCGCCGCCGTTGTCCACCACACTAGTCAGGGTGCCCCCCACCCTACTAAGGGTGGGTACCCATTTATCTACTTGCAACTAATTGCTTTCGAACCGCTGGGTGGGCGGGTTGAAAAAGGGGTTGAAAAAAAATGGCCACTATTGTAACACCCCTGGTCTCAGAAAGGACATTGCAGAGCTGGAAAAAAGTGCAGAGGAGGGCAACCAAGATGATCAGGGGATTCAAGCACCTTCCCTATGAGGAAAGGCTGAAGAGTCTGTGGCTTTTCAGTCTAGAAGAGAGACAACTAAGGGAGGATGTGATAGAGGTTTATAAAATTATGCACAGGTTAGAGAGAGTTGGGTATTCCCAGTAGTAATGTATGGCTGCGAAAGTTGGACCATAAGGAAGGCCGAGTGTTGAAGAATAGATGCTTTCAAATTATGGCGCTGGAGAAGACTCTTGAGAGTCCCATGGACTGCAAGGAGATCAAATCCGTCAATCCTAAAAGAAATCAACCCTGACTGTTCCCTGGAAGGCCAGATACTGAAGCTGAAGCTCAAATAGCTTGGCCACCAAATGAGAAGGGAGCACTCACTGGAGAAGACCCTGATGCTGGGAAAGACTGAAGGTCAAAGAAGATGGGGACGGCAAAGGATGAGATGGTTAGACAGTGTTGTTGATACAACAAACATGAAGTTGAGCAAACTCCGGAGGATGATGGAGGACAGGAGGGCCTGGTGTGATGTGGTCCATAGAGTTGCGAAGAGTTGAACTCGACTGTGCGACTGAACAATAACAACAAAGAGAGTTGACCAAGAGAAATTTTTTCCCTCTCCCAAAATATTAGCGCTCAAGGGTATCCAGTGAAACTGGTGGGCAGTAGGCTCAGGACAGACAAAAGGAACTACTCCTTTACGCAGAGAGTGATTAAAACGTGGAATTCGCTGCCAGAGGATGTAGTGACGGCCATAGGAACAGACTGCTTTAAAAAGGGATTAGATAGATTCATGGACGATAAGTCTATCAGTGGCTATTAACCATGGTGACTGAGGGGAACCTTCACATTCAGAGGCACTAAACCTTTGAATCCCAGAGACAGGAGGCAACATCAGGGGAAGGTCTTGGTGTCTATGCCCAGCTCTAGGGGAACTGGTTGGCCACTGTGCGAGACAAGATGCTGGACTAGCTGGACTACTGGTCTGATCCAGCAGGGCTCTTCTTATGTTCTTATATAAGGAATTCCTCTTGACTTGAAGTTTGGCAAGCATGAACTAGGGCTTATCCCCTAGCAGGATGTGGAAACCATACAAAAAAAAAATTGCATAGCCTTGCCTAAGGAGCGAGTAGGGGAACAGAACTACCAGACAGCATGGGAGGAGGGAGCCCAATACCTGAAGACTCTCACCAACAAAGAAGATACCTTACCTCTCCTCTGATTACAGCTGTTTTTAGAAGTCCAGCACAGCCGCAGGCTTTGATAGTTAGTGTCTTCATCGCAAACTCGCATTTTGGTTAGACAGAAATCGATGACTGCAGTGTTTTTTTAGAAAAAGAAAAAAAAGGAGAGGGGAAAGGAGATGTTTCCACATCGCAACTAAAACGTTTATCAATTTCATATAATCTAAACAGTTATAAAAGGTTTTTTTTAAAAAAAAAAAAAAGGAGACAAATATACAGCAACAGATCAGGGAAGTTCTAAACACAAACTCAAATGGAATGCTCTAAATAATCGGCACAGAACTGGAAACAAGCTTCAGATTTTAACCTTTCCCCGAAAACACAAATTAAACTCTCTGATTATTGGAACAGAAAGACCAGTTTTTCGCATTCATGATAAGAGAAAGCTGAGAAAAGGGCTACACTAGCCTTCTCTCCATGATGGGCTTGTTTACTACATGCAGGGATTTTAAGAGGGAATTTAAAGGGCAAGCACTAAATAAGTCTGGATTCCCCATCCGCATCCTGAAAGTGCAGTCCACGTCAGCCAAATGAAGCAGTCCTCAACCTTTTTGAGCCTGTGGGCACCTCTGGAATTTCAAAGCGGGCGATTAATGTCACCCCAAAATGGATGCCACAGAAGGCGGAGCCAAACCCAAAATGGCTGACACTGAAGGTGGAGTCAAACCCAAAATGGCTGCCACAGGAGGTGGAGCAAAATGCAATACGTCCCTCCTTTCTTTGCAAAAGAACTGCAGGGAAACCACACTAAATACATGAAGTTGTCTTATTCAGAGTCTGTACATTTTCATACACTATGTTCCTCTTTCGTTTTAATCAGGATCTGGCCATTGGTCCCTCAAGGTTAGTATTATCTCTGCTCTGTTGGGAAGCATGGTCCAGCCACTGGGAGGACGGAGCCCGGAGAAGGAGGCAGGTGGACTGCTATTCCTGAACATACATCTCCACTCATGCAACTGCCCAGATCCCTGGTCTCTAATAAGACTAGAACAAATTTCCCTCTCTGCTGTGCCATCAAGACTGAAGGGGAAATGGAAACCAGGTCCTTAGCTAAGGGAAACCAGGTTCTTAGTCAACTGCCTGATCCTCCAGTGACTGTAGTTGCTCCTGCAGCTCTGAAAAACCCTTTCATTAGAATGAGGGGCAGCCAATAAGAAGCCCTGCTTTACAAAGGCCCCAAATATTTCCTGAAAAGTCCAGCAGGCACCACACTGGGGAAACCTGAGTTACCTCGCGGGGAGGGTGGGGTATAAATACAATTAAATAAATAAAAATAAATAAAATTCCAGTCATGACAGAACGGACTACATCACTTTAGGGCAGGATGGGGATGACATTTTTGACTGTACCCAATATTTTAAAAAAAGACTTCTTGCCAGTAAAAGAAATCAGGATCGACACAAGGGGTACCAGCCCAACCCACTCCCTTTTGTACTAGCTTTCTATTTGCAGAATGTTGCTTTTTAAAAAAGAAAATGTACATAAATATTAAAACATGTGATCCCTAAGTCCACGTCTGAAGTGGTAGAGTCCATTCTACACAAGTAGAAACAGCTGTAACATCTCAAATATTTATTCAATTTAAGAGCCCAATTTTCAACTATAAGGCCCTCAAAGCAGCTTACATTTTAAAATGCAATTTGTACTACTCCCCCTACCCTGCGTTCCCAATATAATTATCTCCTTTTGGCTGATTTGGGGGAGCTCTCTGTTTCTCCACCACAGATGCCCTTCTGCTGATGTTGCTGGGTAATGCGAGCTCTAGACCCTTCCTCTCCCAGGTCTAGAACAACCGTGAGTACACCTCAGATAATTCTGGAGGACGAAGGCAGATCTAAATCCTCACAGAAAACATGTCCTTGAGAGGCTTTCTGGAACCAAAACAGCTCCTGCTGATGCCTGCCCACATATATTGTGTCGAAAAAACAATGTGATTGAGGTGACATTCTCTTTCATCCCTGGGCCATGCCTCACCAGGAACCAGAATTCACACAAGGGTCAGGAGCTGGTAACCCTGAAGTGACAATCAGAGAGCAGCAGCAGGGGCCTCTCGGAATGGCCAGTGTCAAAGCCTGGGTGATAGCAGGATAAGGCAGGACAAACAAGATAAGGTAGGTCAATATATATATATATATACTAGGGTGGGGGAAGGAAGGAAGGAAGGAAGGAAGGAAGGAAGGAGAGAGAAAGAAAGAGAGAGAGAGAGAGAGAGGAAGGAAGTGGGGGGGCGAAAGGAAGGAAAGAAGGAAGAAGGGTGGGAGGCAGGGGGGCCTCCAAAAGATTCTCCCGTCAGTTGTGGGGGGAGAAGGAATTGCCAGCGCTGCCGGCCTCCAACTGAGTGGGTGGGTGAGGAAAATCGGGCTGCGGCGAGGAGTGTGCCACCGCCATGCCGTTCGCACGCAGCGTTCACCTCCCGCCTCCCAGCCAATGGCATGGCAGCAGCCTTGAGCGGCAGCTGGGCACCCAATGGCTGACGGAGCGCATTTTGTCTCCGCTCAGTCTTACGCTGCATCTTACTCAATTATATATAAGGGAGAGATATGTGGGAAAGGCATCAAAGGTCAATTTAGGCATCTATTCTTGTTCAAGCGCATTAAGGACAATGTGGAACAGGAGTAGGTGGCTACCCCAGGAGAAAAAAGCCTAAACTGACGAGGCTGAGGAGGACTGATTCCGACGTCTGCATCATGGACAACTCTGGAATAATGGTGGTGGAAAGTGGTGTCAAGTCACGGCTGACTTATGGCAACCCCACAGGGTTTTCAAGGCAAAAGGCATTCAGGGGTAGTTTCCCATTGCCTGCCTCTGTGTAGCAACACTGGACTTTCTTGGTGGTCTCCCATCCAAGTAAGAACCCAGGACGACTCTGCTTAACTTCTCAGATCTGATGAGATTGAGCTAATCACTGGCCTACCTGCAAACGTTTTGAGCTCACTGCAGAAAAGTGTTTACAGACAGAATCTAGACCGAACATAACCTTGATAGCTCTATTAGCTTCAAGTTGACATGCCAGTGCAAATGTTGATTCCCTTTTGTTTGAACAAGTAAGAGGAAGAGGAAAAGATATGAGAATACACTACAAAGGAATCAAGTATTTGGGAAGAATAAGTAGGGGTCCCACAAGGACTTGTGGGAGATCACTTCATTTTCCTTTCTATCTCCTTCCCCGCACTATTTCCTTTCTCTTCACTTGACAGCCCCCATATCCTCTACCATTTCCCTGCTTCCCTCTGTAATTCCCACTCACCAATCTTTTTGTATCTCCCCACCCACCAGTCTTCAGCTTTATTTATTATTTATTTCCTCTCCAAGGTTTGAAGGCTGGCAATATTGTTACAGTTGCTTAACAACCCCCACAATGGCCACTGAGATCTCAGAGGCTGTTCATTTCTTTAAAGTCCAGGCACAGTTCCATTACCGGGGGGGGGGGG